CTCCCTCTCCCTCTCCCTCTCCCTCTCCCTCTCCCTCTCCCTCTCCCTCTCCCTCTCCCTCTCCCTTCCTTCCCTCCTACATCTTCTCCACAGCCTCTCATGTTGCCTTCTGTTTTTCTCCCTTATCTCGCTCCTTCCGGTACTCAAACTTGAGCAGAGCATGCAGAAGAAACGAGCCCTTCGCCCTCTCCCGTCAAAGGTACCAGCTGCTCAGAGGTTGATGGGTTCGTGATGACGTGGCAGGGAGAGAAGGACGTAGACAACAAGGAGAATGCTCCGAATGCAACAGGTCCGATCATATTTCATGATGTTTATCACTTGTTCCTCTCTTTCTTTACACCCTTTCTCTGTGGCAAGAACAGAAGAGTGTCACTCTGCTCTTCCTTCCATCCCCTGAATGTCCTTGCACTATTGTTGTTGTTGTTTGATGTTGTTGTTGTTTGTTGATGTTGATGTTGATGTTGTTTGATATTTTCTTTTTCTCCTTCTCGCAGCTGCTGTCACCAAGAAAGCAAAGAAGCTGTTCAATGCTATTCAAATGCCCGAGGATATCACCGGGGATCCATTCGCCACTTGAGGTAACTTCATCTGCTATCTCGGCCCCCTCGCTTACTTCCCTGATTTAGGTAGGAGAGGGAAGGCGCAGGAGGAGGAGAAAGAGGAGGAGGAGGAGGAGGAGGAGGAGGAGGAGGAAACTAGCTTCCTTACCCTTGTAAGGAGAACACATCCAACTAACCAAGCACGACCGAACGACTGATTGGAAACAATATTTATTACACTAACAATACAACGAAGGTTGAAATCAAAGATTTCCAAACCCCTTCCCCCACTCTTGCTCTGGGCAAGTTACAAGCTGCTGTCCTTCTTGTCTCCTCGGGACTCCTTCTTTGATCTCCGCAAGGCTCTTACGTGCGCGATGCATGCTGCATCGATGAATTCAGCCTCGTGCGAGTGCGAGTTCCCCGAGCTCTTGGCCACCTCAGTATGCGAGATTGGGAACCAATCCTGCGACTTGGATTTTCTTTCTGGTTGCAACGACTGAGCTCTCTGCAGGGAGTAGTCTTGAAATTTCTGCAGCATCTCCTCCTTGCTCTCCTCCTCGTCCTTCCCGTCGTCTGCTGATCCAGTGGCAACTACCTCCATACCCAGCGTCACGCACGACTGAGTCGACCGGGTTGGACACATCGAGACAACAACATCGTCCCCGCTCTTGTGATAGAGGGTGATGGTTGCTCTCTCCCCCACGTGCGATGGATCTTGAACAAAGGAGTTGAACACGTTGGTGTTGGTATCCGGGCCATGGCAGAGCCGGATAGTTTTCCCAACGATCTCGCCCTCAGCAAACCCAAAGGTCTCCAGCCAGTTTGAGCTCGCGCTTTTGATGTGAAAGGGAAACGATGTGTTCACTGAGATCTCACAGCCCTCGCCCTGCGACCCTTCATGGTGGGCATCTGAACATGTCGTGCTATCAACAGTGATCTGCTTTGCGCTAGACTCCTCATCGTTTGCCCCCTTCAACACGTTCTTCGTGTTCGGCTTGATGGCGAAGAAGATGGACGTGTTTGTATCATCATAGTTTGACGGAGGGATAAGGTCCAACTTTGTAAAGTCGCCCTGCTCAAACTCCACTGCCATGTCTTCTTCGATCCTGAATGCGTCGGGACTATTTCCTGCTGCAACCGCTTCCTCTCTGATATCAACCCGCTCGATGGTAAACGTCGACGTGATCGCACTGTCGTCAAGACGCCTTACTGTTCTTCTTCACAACCTCAACTTCTTCTCGTGCCCTCCTCCCTTCCTACGAGTCTGACAACCAGGAACGTTCGGATCTCCTTTATAGCTCCCCGAGTCACCAACCCCCGTCCTCCTGGCCCCAAAAATACCCCACCCCCCAACTCGATTCGCAAGTACCCCCACCCTGATAAATACAACACTGCCTCGGAAATTGTATGTCTTTACTGAATTTTTCGGGGAAAATGACCGGTGATATCAGTACCCCACCCCACATTATTCCGCAAGTAACCCGACGACCAACACTGGATCGTACTAACATATCGCTGACCCAACCCAAACCGATCCTTGCGGCCTCTCTGGCCTCATTTTGAATAGTTGGCGCATATGTTTCTAGGTCACATGTGCCTATTCCTTTACTGCTCCACTAATTCACAATTATGATTCTATGTAAATAGGGAAGAGTTTCGGTTTAGGTCCTATAGTGTCTGCTTATTGCTGCCATTTATCATTGGAATCGATGGCCGGGAAGGTGACATGCTGACATTCCTATTAGTTGACGTCTTTGAATAAGATTTTAGATATTTCATTTGAATATTTCAAGTTTCCTGAGGTACTTTGACAGAATAACAAGCACCATGTTCATCAGTTTTCAATTCTGTTAGCATGCGACAGGCCAACTACAGATAGTACACCTGGAGATCCTTTTCATCCGTCCCCAATTCTTTCAAACCCTGTGGTTTCAATGCTTCCCCTGAAAGCCAAAAAGCATTTTTTCGATTCATGTCCGATATCCTGGATTCCCATTGTCCTTGAAATAGCAATTTTTGAAAGACATACTATCCACTTATATGTCAAAACCACGTTACTCTGTCAGCAGGTGCTAAAAGTTTATCACCACAGGCCTGCCTCAGAGTAGAGACAGGACATGAGCTACTCAAATAGGGTAGGAAGGGCAATGATGTAGATCACCACCCAGGGGTACTAAATAGGGTAATACTTGGGAATTAAGAGGGGTGGTCGCTCAGAGGCTATTTAAGCAAGTCTGCCTCAAGTAATGAATAGGATACATTGAGGGACATCGTTCAGGTAGTACTGATTGCAATTATTTGTTGATGGGACAGGGGGTAGGGTCAGAAAGGGGGAGAGAAGGGGGGTAGGCAAAATGGAGTAGGTGAGTGACGGTTTCAATGTAACTGCCATTGTTAGTTTGGCGGGAAACCATGCGGAAGTTTGTGGAGGGGAAAGAGGAAGAGAGGGGAGGGGAGGGGAGGACGGAAGAGGAGAAATACGATGGGGAGGAAGGGGAGAGAGTAGGATAGGGGTGAGTAGGAGAGAAAGGAGGGCAGGAGCAAAGGGAGGCGGAGAGGGGTGGGGAAGGGAGAAATATGCGAGGAAGGAGCGCAGAAGGGAAGGGAGGAGCAGAGCAGAGCGGAACGGAGCAGAGAGAAAGAGAGAGAAAACAAATGATCAAGTGGAGTAGAGTAGGCAGGGGAGGGTAGATGGAAGGGTGGGGAGGGGATTGGTGAAGGCAGGTGAGGTCAGGAGAGAGAGAAGATGAAAATTGTAGGACAGACGTTAGAAAGATAGAGAGAAAAGGAACGATACGAGGATGAATTGAATTGAATAGGAGAGGAGGAGGGAGGAGCGTACAGTGGACAGTCTCACTGTCAAGAGAATATGAAGACTGGCAAACGGGATCAAAATGAACGATAGTCAGAAGCAAATCAATCAACGACCACCATTGTTCTAAAGTCTGTTGCTGTTTCAGGAGGGGTGTTTCCTCTCCCGCTGCCAGGCACTGACGATGGAGGTTTCGTCGCTTGTTCGAAAGCTGGGTATTGTCTTTCTATCTAGCGAATCAAGGGTTTTCTGATGTTTTTAAAAGGACATGAATCCATGCAGATCCGGAAACATGCTATGTCCTCTATCTTGTTCAAAATCAAGCAGAAGCTTATCTGTATTCCGCAGTTGTGGGAAGCAGACCTCATGGTATGATGAAATTTCAACGCTTTGCATAAGTAGCTTAAGCTTTGTACGTCAGATTTTCCCTCTTCTTTTGGAATGGTTCAACTACCCAAATGCGCCGTTACAGCAAGAAGTAAGGCTCTGCCATGTTGAAGACTGATAACTGATAAAAATCAGGTCTTGGAGCTGGTACATAGTATCTGTTCCGCTTATCCAGATGCTGCTTCCACATTCAGTATACACGATAGCCAGTCCTGCATTGATTTGTAAGCTTTGATGCAGCTCAAGTTGGGGCCATTCCTTTCTTTCAGGAGATGAAAAGGCATTGCAATGTACTTTCCTCTCCATGTCCATTCCAGTTGAATTTTCCCTGATCGCTCGGAAACAGATTGCTCTCAAAGAATGTGTTGGATCAGTCTTGAATATTCTCTTGTCAACTCCAAGAAATGAAAATCTTGTCAAGGACGTCCTCATTCGTTCCAAGGTGAAGGGATTGTTTTAAGTTTGTTCAAAATGGTTTGATTTTCGATTAGACGATTGGAGAGAAAAGCGTCCAAAATGAAATGCAATCAGAAGCTTCTGCAATTGTCAGCCAACGATCGCATGATGGTGCGAATGCAAACCGATCAGAATCTTTTGAGATTCTAAAATATGCCACACAGTCTCCGAGACCAGAACCACATCTAACTTTGAAGGATCCAATGTTTCCAATAGCAAAAGGTATCAAGCAACATCAAAAGGATCTTTACCAGTGATTGCGTTGTCACGCGAAGATAGCCAGGTACCTAACGTACAATTGTTTCAATTTCTTAATTTGCTTCTCAAAAGTTACTTTTTGAAATCGACGTGAAATTGAAAATGACGGACCGCAATGTTGTTGGTGCAAGATACTTTGCGTTATGATTGCAGAATATATTGACATAGTATCTGGATAGTTTCTTCGGTTCAGCACCTTGAAGTTCTCCTCACATCAGACTTTCCTCCAGAAGTAAGATTATCTCAGAGTTTTTGGTTCCTTGCAAGTGAGGACTCATTCAGGTTTTGCTTCAAAAGCCTGAAATTTTTCAAAATTTGTTGAGCCTAATGCAAACGAGTGATGCCAACGATATCACTGGAAAAGCTGCAGTCAAATTCTTTATGAATTGGGTACCTTATACGTGGTCGTCTGTCAGAGGTTTTCACCCTATGAACAGGTTTTATGTTTGAAGAAAAGCATAAGATGCTATCTTACAGTCATGCTTCATCAAAAGGTTCCTTTTGACGTCCATCAATTAGCAAACACTGGTACATGTAGCTTTGTGCAATCGTAGATTCACTTGAAACTTGACAGATATACCAAGAACATCAAATCTTGATTCAAATTGGAACTATCCACCACCCTGCATCAAGAGCTACATGGGCTCTATTACTCCGCAAGACGCAGTACATTCGATCTTCAGCCGATCGAGCGTCATTCTTCAAGACCCCGATCGTATTGGAGACGTGATACGATTGATGAGAGCTTGCTTGCCGCTGCTGTGCAGTTGTACAGGGTACCGGGATCAAAACATTCAGGTTTGATAGCACCTTGAATTGGGCCGAACCATTGTTATCTTACGCATGACATTTCCTTGTATGTGTAGTTTTGTGATAGCGAAAAAATTGGAGTGCACCTACAATCCCTGTCTGCCGTTCTCGCTTTTCATGGTTGGAACAGGGTGAGAAATTCTGGTTTAGTCTCCAAATTTTGAAACTTCATAGGTTCTTACGGATCCATCGATGTTTGATATCTTCACATTATCATTGGATCTGGTCAGCATCACACCAGAGCACGAGAGAAGAAAAATGCTTCCATCCAAGCTTTGCGACATTATTTTTCAAGTTGCAATTGAGCCATCCATCGGGAAAACAAACAAAGATATTCAGAACCGATCTATAGCAATCTTGAAGAATATTGACCATTCTTATGCAAGAGTTATTCAGGAAGTTGAAGACATCTGGACTGGCCTGAAGCTCTTTGAAACAACTGTGGTGCCTGACGGTCAAAGTGAGATTTCAATGGATCCTTCAAAATCACTCAAATTACTTCTACCAAATCTTGCATACTTCCCGGAATGTTTCGAATCGTTTGTAATGGCTTTGATCAAAGAACTTGCCTCCGATGCAGTGCAACCTCCAAGTCTGAACATTCTTTTTGATGTCCTTCTCGGTTTGTTCAATTCCAGTGTTGATTCCCTAAGGATCTTGACATACCTTCAATTGAATATGAATTTGGAATCTATTATTCGTGCGCGCCAAGACCAGTTTTGTACTGAGAGGATTTTCTATGAGATTGTTCATAACGGGATGCAACATGTTGATACTCAGAGACATACTTGCAACATTCTACAAAAGATGTTCAACTCGTATGGGCCAAAAAGATTGTGCACGGTTGCGCAGTGTGCTTTGCCTACTTTGGTTGCACATGTCAATCTGTCAGATAACGAAAACTTTGTTTTAGGTTTTGTTTGGGCAATCCTCAATCTGTCGAGAAAGGAAGATTTAGCGATTTGGCTCGCTATTATGGTCGGAAATGTAAATGAAAGTATCAGAATTTTGGCGTCAAGGGACTTGCTATCTGTCCTACAGAAATCTGAGATGCAGCTTAATTGTGATGATTTTTCTGATCCCCTTGGCTTTATCAAAGAAAGCTCGGCCCTTCCTGTCCCATCGCGATTGATTGCGAATGAATCTTTCCGAAAAAGAGCCTTCGATAAGCAAGAGATGTCTGACCTCATCAAAGTGCTGAGCTCGTCAAATCTCTTTGAAAAGACAAGACTTTCAGCAGGGGAGCAGCTTTTGATTGCAGCCAAGAATCAAGCCTTAATGATGATTTTGCTGGATTTAAATATTTCGGATTCTATTTTTTCAGTGATATCTCAGGAGAATAACCAGGAAGTACTATGCATCTGTTTGAAAATTACCACAACTCTGATCAAAAACAGCAAATATGTGCGTGAGCGCTGCATGCAGTGGCAGCAATTGAAAATCCTTCTTGGTATGTTGTTCAACGCTTCTCAAGACGTCAGGAGACAAGCGATGATATCGATCAGGTGTCTTTAAGCTTTTGGTTTGTTTGATACTAAAGTTAGTGTTTGCAGTTGTTTATCTTTTGCATTCGATAGAATGTTGAATTTGGTTCACTCTGAAAAAGGTTTCCAACTTGAAAGACTGAATGATTCCAATACGCAACAAGTCCCTGAAGAACTCTCCGTTTTTGTGCCAGATGCTTTCCGAGATCAATTCCTTTCATTCGCTCACTTCAAGTATTACGGCATCAACAGCGAGTTTTGTAATGCAGTCAAATTACAGGATCCTGCTGTTCAGAAAGCGATTGCTAAGCTTCAGACCTTTGCAGATGATAATGCGTCCACAGTTTGGAATCAATCTATGACGAATGGAGGCAAGAGAGCCTTGTCGCTGATTGAAAAGATAGAAAATGCGACAAGCCACGATTCATTTTTACAGAACGTAGAAACAGCTTTGAACTACGTTTGTGGGAACCAAGAACTGGTGAACCTGTTTCTGATTGCAACTTGTAAGGGGTCGATTGCTCGGATCCTCTGTACACCTCCAGCAGATGTATCTGATGCTCAAGTGCTCAGCGTCTTATTGGGGACAATTACCAAGGCCCTCAGCTGTCTTCCAGAAGGTCCGAATAGTGCTTGCTGCACATTTCAAACAACTGATTGTGCGATTTTCAGGTCATCCAGCTCCAGGGCCATTCATGAGATTTTTTCTCGATTGTATCAAAGACCACCTGTTTCCAATGCTGAAGGTGGATCCCATCTTACTTGACACTAGGACATGGAAGGAATTGAGAAAGGATTTCATACGTCTTTGTTTTGAGTTACTCTTACATGATTACGATGCTGGTATGAGGATGGTGGCACCAATCTTTCGTGTCATGCCTTCGTTCGTACCTTGGATGATCTCACAACTAGCCTTCACTACAAGTCAAGATTTGAACGCTTCTTACTCAGCAGACATTGCCGACAGGCAGATTTTGGAATGCATTCAAATTATTTGCCTAGAGGAAAGGGACTTTCAACATACCTCGCAGCAGATTTTCAGTGCTATCAAATCTGTTTTAGAGTTATTAACGGTCTTTTTGAAAGCTTTTTCTGCCTCAAGACTCGCACATGCTGGACCAGAGCAGCATAAAGCAGCACCACTCACGTTTAGAAGAAAGGCATTAGTGAAATCATGTATTCAACTGGTGTCTTTGATTTTACAGACTTTTCCTTTGCTATGCAGTGAATGGGTCAAGGTGAATGTCGAGTTCGAATCGATCAGATGGCTTCTAATGTTCACAGAAGACCGTGAGACCAATGTTCGAGCTATGACTTTTTCTATTCTTTCTTCCATATCTTCGTGTATGACATCAAGCAACTACATCAGTTCTCATCTGATCATTGCATCACAAAGTTCTTTGGTTCTTGCACCGCAGCACAGTGAGTATCTCGAGCACTGCATGGAAAAGGTTCTTGATCCAGAGGAAGCAGAGTACGTCAGATATCAAGCCTCGATGGTTCTGGCACTATCGTTGTCAGACACTGCGATCGATATTGAGGACGAAGACGAAACGCTTGATGTTTTGTCGTCGTGCAGTATGCGAACAAGCGAATCTCTTTTGTTGTCGAGCGACTCGTTGCAAGATTCAACACGCTTCCAGAACACTTTTGACAATGTTGAAATCTCGAATACGGAGAGGACGCAAGAGCGAGATGCTTTTGCGAAAACAAGGATTCTCAACACGATTTCAATTCTTGAAAGAAGTGAGTTTCTGCACTTTTTTGGCAAGTTGATCTCGGAAATGAGTCAATCGGCTGAAAACAAACAAAGTTTGCTTCTCATGGCTTGCGTGACTATTGTTTACAACTGGAGCCTTATTGAACCTGTTAAGGTTTCAAGTTTTCTTTCAGATGATAAGTTAATAATAGGTGTAACAAGGCTCTTGGATCCGATGCTTATGATTCAAACAGAACTTTCTCGACCTCGGTACTCAACCCACGTTGGTGAAGCACTTGTTGGGTCCAATCTACACCTCCACACAGTTACCACTGGCTCGATTCCTTGCATGCTTCATGGTGTTTCTGTTCTCTGCAAGATGCTCACGACTTACGTAGAATCCAATGAAGAGGTCGTGTTCACTCTCGTTCACAAATCCAGTATGCTCGAGTCTGCAGCAAAGCTATTGCGCTATAGATTCTCCAATCAGGCAGCAAACAATCGATGCTCGAATCTGGCATGGATTCATCGCCATATCCTAAATGCTGAGCTTGTTGCAAAGACATCACTTACCTCCTTACTTTGCAGTATCTTAAGCAGAGGCAGGACTGGATTTGAAGCCTCTAGAATCTTGATGGAACAAGATATCATGGACGCATGTCTTAGTATGCTGCTTCCTTGCTATCATCCTTCTTTGAATTACAGTGGCTGTGCTCTACTATCTCATGTTTCTGCACATATATCAGATCAAGCTTGCAAAACTTTGACGCAGGCAGGCAAACTTGGAGAAGAGAGCAAATTCTGTGACCACAAAGCAGATAAGTGCGTTGAACGAGAATTGTCAAAAAGGTTGCTTGGAATTTATCATCAACTCTACGAATCGAGTGAAGTGGAGAACATAAGCGTTCATCTCAATGTCGAACAATACAAAGGCGCTGTTGTGGCTGCAATCTGTTCCATCTTAAGTGCTAGCACCCAATCGAAGGAATTTTGCCTCTCGGTTGGCTTTCCCGACGCCCTTGTGTCTGCATTGGATGCGAGGTTGAATCAAATGCTTCTGTACGATCTCCACGGGAAAAACAACTTGACTTCTCGAATTGATGACTCCGGGTGGGTAAAAAGGAGCATTTCGATGACTACGAGTAGGAACAGATCAAACAAGACGGTGAAGAAGAAAACAATCAAAAGGAACCTTACACAGATTGAAACAGAGATCGTGTTTATTCTCGAAATTTTCAAGAATCTCCTCTACAACTCGAGTTTGGAAATCAAATCCTATCTATTGAATGCGGGACTTCCCAACGTCATCTCGAGGCTCCTCACAAAGTCCTGCTCCCAGACTGACAAAGTCGTTGAGTCGATTATGCAAATGCTTGCCAACCTTGTTTTTGAGTGCGAAGCAGCATGCCAGGCTATGGCAGATGGAAGAAGTCACGGCATGAATCTTCTGCAACTTGTGATGAACAGCATGGGAAGAGTGCAGGCGAACAGTGATCTCTGGCAAGACTACATGCGTGTACTTTCCAGCAGCTGTTCGTCATGGGAGTGTCTCTTGATCCTGCTCAAGAGTCGTGTGATCCAAGACGTGTTGAACAGGATCGATGAGTTCACGGAGTCGAAGTGCGTTGAGAGTGTTGCGGCGGCTCTTCTCTTTCTCGTCTCTTTGTCTTTCCGTGAAGAGGGTCAAGTTGGGCTGCTGCGAATCCCACAATTTGTCGAGCTCCTCGCAAGAACTCGATCCTCTTTCATCCTCAACGGTCGCATCCGGCATCTCGTGGGACTGCTCTTCCGCAACTTGACCTTCCTTCCAGCCGGGAAGGCACACATTCTTAACCATGCTGGAGCTATGGAGGCTATCATAGAAGATCTTGAGATGTCTACGTTCGTCCGGGAGAGCAGCAGCTGCCGAGCGATAGCGGCCAACGCTGTGTGGTCGCTCCTCTACCTCCACGAGAAATCGCGGACTACAATGAAGACGAATGGATTTTCCATTCGGATCCAACGCGTCTACGAGAGCCTCGCGTCTTCACAGGACAGCTCGAGTGACGGGTGGGAGAAGAGCGCCATTGAAAGCTTGCAGGCCGCTCTCAAGATTCTGGATGTCTAGCTGGATGGTGACGCTTGTGTACAAACTGGACGAAGAGTTGGTGCGCTATGCTTCTGTATTTCTTGTTTTGTAAATGTCTGTGATGAGTTGTTGGTCAAATGCACTGTTGAATGATGGGACGTGGTCAGGCCCTTTACTAGGTTACAGTAATGAATAAGCTATTCCTCCCTTCCTTGGAATCCTCAGTACCACTGCACGCTCAAGGATAGAGATCGGCGCAGGTTGATCGCAGGTAAGATTCGCAGCTCTCAGCCCTGAAAGCCAGTCAGTGATGTCAACGAAAACTTGAGCTGCCTGACCCGTAGATGTTGGTCCACTTCAACCCCTCGTCTGAAGAGTGAGCGACGGACTTGGCAAGGTCGTTGACAACCTCAGGGGAGTACTCGTCGAGAGCGATGAGCGTGTCTGCATGCGGGTTGAGCATCGAGGAAGAGAAATACAGACGATCGTCAGACCCACCCCCGTTGTCATTGCCTGAAGTCATCAGCATGTTCTCTGCCAGAAGCTGCCGCTGTCGCCGCATAGTTGAAAAATCTCTGAACTGCTGGAACACTCCCATGACTCCTGCCTTGCACTTCAATGGCAGCAGGAGATGCGTCAGAATACTGAATGATATTTCATGTGCACATTTCTAGAAGATATCAAGACCCCATCATTGATTGATACATGGCCCCTTTCCTTGTTTGGAGTGTATCTCAACCATGTCTTACACTGCTCTATGGCAGCTTTGATCTCATCTGTTGCTCTTGCCTCTACTTTCTTGCTATTTTGCAACAACACTTGTAGACAAGTTCAGACTCGTTCTCCTCGCTTCCGATTGCTTCCACCCTCAAGCTCCGCGTCCTGATGCATTCTACACGCGCCCTTCCTCCCTCTGCACTCTTTTCAATATGGGTTGATCTTTTCCTAGTCCAAAATTCTTCGCCTCCTCCCCTTTCATCTGACTCAGTCCAGCGTGAACTCCCCACTACTCGTTATCTTTGCCACTCATCTGCTACAGCACAGAAACTGTATCCTCTCATATCCGTGATATCGCCATCTCTCTCCCTCCCTCCAGTCTTCCTCCCTCGCTCCCTGCCTGCCAGCCAGCCTGCCTGCCTGCCTGCCTGCCTGCCTGCCTGCCTGCCAGCCAGCCAGCCTGCCAGCCAGCCTGCCTGCCTGCCTGCCTGCCTGCCTGCCTGCCTGCCTGCCTGCCCCGCTCCCTCGCTCGCTCGCTCGCTCCCTCCCTCCCTCCCTCGCCTCCACGCGTCCCCTTCTCGTTTCCTCCGCGTGCTCCTGTAGCATTTTACTAGTCCGAAATCTGCTCCGTCCTCCTACCCCACCCCCTCCATTGTAGGGACACATCTACCCCCTACCAATCTGAATTTGAATATTTGTCAATTCACCCCTATTATTGTCATATCAGTGATACGCAATGAAGGGGGTAGGGTTATCTTTTGACCCCTACCAAAGTACCCCCCACCCTACTGTCAACTTCGATCTTCCTGCATTCCTCGGCAAACTCTCCCGGACCCCTCGAAGATTTTGATCTCCTTACCCCACCCCTTCAATTACTTTCTTCACCGGTTATCCTCACTGACATTCCATTATGTTGTACCCACCCTTTTATGTACCCCTACCCCGACTTTAATCTGATTTCCTGGACCTCTACCCCCCATATCACGTTGAATTTAAAATTACATTTATGGACAGTGAGGGGAAGTCGGTCTTGTCAATCCACCCACCTTCGTGAGGTCCTAGGATACCTAGGACACACATACAAATTACTAGCACCAAAGTTGCACTTCACTCGTCTTGGGGTCTTAGGACACCTAGGACTCTCGGTAGGACCACTGGCGTTCCCGCCGCAGACAGCTTCCGAAGGTCGCCCGTTGACTACTAGTACCGTAAGTACCGCCGTCTCTGTTGCAGAATACGTACTGGACTACTCACGTGTGTGACTCGGGTGACGACGGGCCCCGGCGTACAAGCCTCGAGCGGAGTCCGATCAGTGCAGTGCAGGCGGCGCCATGGCCCGCTACTAGTTGAACGGACGGACCGGGAAGCCTGGCCGCACGGTGCCGGGGCCCGCCGGTCTAAACTTTCAACTTACTAATTTAGGCTCAGTGCCACCGCCCAGCGACTCGCATTGGCTGCATCCGATTACGGTCGGACTCGGAGCCTCAGGCTCCGGGCTGGCACTGCCGCCGACTGGCCCTCAGGCCCAAGTGACTCACTCGGGCTGAGTGCGCCGGGCCGTCCGGGCCGGGCCCGGGCCAGCCTGTCCAGCGGCTGAGCGGCGACTGCTCCGTCCTCGTTGTAATTTAACTTAACTTTGACTAAACTTAAGTATTGTACGTACCAAGTCAAATCCGAGTCAGACGGTCGTTCAGGCTTCGTAGTTCAACCTCCTGGTCCCACAGGGGGTGGGGGTGGAATTGCCGAAGGTGACTGGGAGGGAGGGGGGTGGTGAAATAGGGAAGGACGGGTACGGATCTACTAAGGTTAGATGGAAAAGAGTGCAAGTTGGGGGGGTCATACCCCTAGTGATATATGGGGCTCAGGGGGGTGGGGTAGGGGGTTCCGTCAGCCTGTAGAGTTGAGGGGTGGTGTAACAACAGCGAACGGGGGAGTAAAGTGGGAAATAGTATCAGGGTGGGTAGTATTGATGGAAATATGAGGGGTGGTAATGATTGAGTTGTAGCCTTGTCGACACTTGGGGTAGGGTACTGGACTTTTAGGGAAGGTGGGGTCGTAGTCGTAATTCAGATCGATGGCGGAGATCGCTGTATCAGGTAAAAATGTTGTGAAGAAGGGAGAAGGGAGAGAGAGGAAGAGGAGGGGGAGGGGGAGGAGACGGAAAGAGGAGGAAGAGTAGAGATGGAGGGAAGGAGATGTCGTTGTTGTTGTTATGCTGGAGGAAGATAGATCAAAGAGGGGTAGGACGACAAAAACTTCCTTGGTCAGGTACATTTTTGTTTTAGCAAGCTGATAGATTAGCCACAGTCAGTCAGGCAGGCGGTAAGGTGGAATCCTTGTATGATGGAGGGGATGAAGATATTATGACACACCGACGTGAAATATAAGAGCATACTTGTAGCTACTTGTAGAGCAGAGAAATAGGAAAACGCCTCAGGACAAATTTTATTGGTTGTTTCAAACGCGCAGGGGTTCATGGTTGTATTCATGTGTGATCCTCCTGCAAACTCCAGAGGCCAGCAAGACACCCTTGCTCCCTCTTGTGCTTGCTGAGAGCAGTAGATGTACAATGACATGTTGAGAAAAGCTGAATCGAATCGTTTAAGGACGCCGGGGGGGGGCTGCGGAGGCGAGTAAGATGAAGCGACCACGACCCGCGCCTCCGAAGCGGAACAAGGCGGTGGATAGAGGGAAGACGAAGGAGCTGCTGGACTGTCTTGACTGCCTGGTAGGAAGACAGTCAGGTGTCTGGGCCCACATGGACCTAGGTGATGATGTTCTAGGTGCCTGTGAGGGAAAGGCCGCTCGCTGAAGAGAAAGGCAAGCTTGAATCTCGACGAACGGTGAGCGATGGTCGCCCTGTTCAGGATGTGCCAGTGAAGCAGGAGGCAGGTCCTTCAGCTGTATGAGGACTGCATCGTTCATATCAAAAGCATAATGAACAAGGTCAATGCTCGTGATAGGGCAACAAATTTGGTTGACAAGGATGCTGGTACAGGAAGAGGCATGCGATGCTCCCGCTACCAGAAGCTCTGGTTCTGTTTTTCATGGGGACGTGCTACGGAATGGGATGAGCTCGAGGTGACTGGTCTCATTCTCTCACAGCCGTTGATGGGTTTGTTGGGGTTCAGTTTTACTTTCCCGTTCATCACTCTAAGGGTTCCTTCGCTGGTAGTTGAATCTGCGAGCCAGATGGTGCAGTACTGGTGAGAGCAATACGGCGTCTCCTGCCAGTGTTGTGGTGGTGGAGTTGGGGATAGATTGGAGAGAGGGGAGGTTTGGGAGGAAGGAAGGTGCCAGGGAGTAGAGTGCGGGGGGAGGATTGAGCTAGAGGAGAGGTATGCGTGTAACTTCAGCAGAATGGATGAGGTTGGGGCCAATTGGTTGCTACAGCTGATGTCCCTTGTCCAACAGGTATAGGAACTCTCCTTTTCGCACTTTGAGGGGGCAGAACATACTGCATTTCATAGACTATTCAGATCGTTGGAAGGTGAGTTGAATGTTTTGCTACGTTCATCGTTAAGTCTGGGGTCAGTGGCGAGCTTACTTGAAGAGGCTGGAAACGTTTCGGGTGCAGGGCGGGCAGATTTCGTCAACCATGGTTCCTTTCGAGGCCAATCTGATCTGCTTCACCCCCTTCGCGTTCCCTGCTGTGAATCAAACAGAATGTAAAGGCGTTGGAGTGGAGACGATGAAATGCTTGTGGGTCCCGACTTGTGTCAATTCCGGTAGGTTGAGAAGCGGAGGAACCTGGTTGACAGCTGAGAGCTGTGGTTGCGCTCATTACTCCTTCTTCTCCTATCTTTCTCCTCCTCTAATTCTCCATATGCTGCATGTGGTTTTTGTTCTTGGTTCATTTACCCTGCCTGCCTGCCTGCCTGCCTGCCTGCCTGCCTGCCTGCCTGCCTGCCTGCCTTCCTTCCTTCCTATCTTGTCAATTTGACACATCTCAGACGGCTGCGTCGTTTTCCTCCTGTACATACAACCGCCTTCATTCAATCAACAAACTAGGTGAGGAGGAGGAGGGAGCGGAGGAGTGCGAGAAGAGACTAGGATTAGGAAGAGGGCGAGTATGGGGAGCGAGCATGTGGGCAAGCAGGAGAATAGGAAGCAGGATAAGGAGCGCATAGAGAAACAGCGGGAAATGGAGGAACAGGAGGGGCGGGGCAAGGCGGGGGGCAGAAGAGGAGTTGCGAATGAATTTTGATGTACAGGAAGAGGAAGAGGGTTGAGAGTCAAGAATTCTGTGAAATTGTCATGGAAAAGCCGCAAATGAGCTGCAACGGAGTGTACGGGTAAGAGGAGAAGGCGTTTCCGGCAGGAGAGAAAGGGGCAAGGCCGCGATGAGGAGGAAGACGAGGAAGGGAGAGAATTGGGGAGGAGGAGGAGAAGGAAGGGGAGGCAGTATACACGAGCGAGAGGGAGGAAGAGAGAAAGTGAGGCAGGGATGCGGGGAAAAGGAAACAAACTTGCTATCGAGTGAAAGTTTGCAACCAGGTATGATGAGCTCTGCTCTACATGTTTCCCTTGGAATGTCGATTCGGCCATGCATGCGGTGGAAAAGGATTCTCACCCTCCCTTCGTGCAGGCAGCGATAGTGGGAATGGTGAGAAGATGGTGAAGCAGATGATGATGACGATGATGATGATGATGATGATGATGATGATGATGACGACGACGACGACGACGACGATGATGATGATGATGATGACATTGATGCTATGATGATTATGGGGACGGAGATGATGGTGATGAATAGTTCGAAGTAGGGCAGGCACATGAAAATTCGTGGTCGTTTTGTGCTTCCCATGTCATGATATGTTCTCACTGCTTCTCGAATGATCAATTTCATTTGCATCGTCAGTGGTCAGCAAGGCATACTATGGGTCAGATGTTCAACAAGATTGTAGGGAGCTTTGTTCCTTCAGTAACGGGAGGGCTGACCAGATACGTAAGCACTAGTATCCTTCCTCTCCTGCCATCTTCTTCTCTCTCCTGCCATCCATGCTCTCTCCTCTTTCTCTCCTGCCCCATCTTCCCTTCTCTTCCCCTTCCCTTCTGTCTCCCCTACTCCTTTCCTCTGCTTCCGTCCTTTCCCCTCTCCTCTCCTCTCCTCTCCTCTCCTCTCCCCTCCCCTCCTTTTCCCCGTTTCTCTCGCTGACCCCACAACAGCTGTCCCGCCTTGTTCAGATACACTTCACCTGCCTCCCAAACGTCGCCGGCGTCGCCACCTTCTCCTCCCACTTGCGCATCGAGTTCCCGAGCATTCTGGGGTCCATCCACACGCCATGGAAGAAAGTCGTCTGTGTACCCCTGGACGGGCGCCTGGTCCCCATAGGAGACAACAAGTTCACTTGCTACTGCCCCTACATGCGCGGAGAGGCAGGGAACGTGCAGTGGTGGGAGGCGTACTTCAGGAAGGAGGAGAACAGGCTAGTTTGTTACCACACTCGAGTCGTGTTCTGTGGGGAGGACGAGGTCCATGGGAGGATTATCAAGGTGGTGGGGGAAGTTCTCAAGGGCGATAGCAGCGAGTGCACGTTGGATTTTCAGCATGTGCTCAAATGGTTGGGATAAGTGTTATCCTCCTCCTCCTCCTCCACCACCACCACCACCACCACCACTACCTCACATCCTCCTCCTCCTTCACCTCCTCCTTCAC